TCAGAACAAGTATAAGAGCACAAAGACTTGTATACGCCCATGGACCGATATGGAACCTACCTGGACCACTGAGGATTACACAGATATAACCCTGCATTCGATTAAATTCTGACTCCCACTTGGACCTCGGATTTGACGTCACGTGAAGCATTTTATTATGTTCCACGTGTCGGACTACGTGGATTATGATTATGACTATTCCCTCATCTTATAAAAAAAAAAAAACGCTGCTACTTTACTTGATTTAATATTTGAAATTGGCACTTCATTTTATGTTTAGATTTCTCTTCCGTTACAACCTTACTGACGTTAACACCCATTACATCAAGTATTTGTTCAATATTGGCCTCACCACAAAAAACTGACTACCAAACCCGCAGGCAGTGATACAGACGCGGTAAAGTACTGCAGTAATATGAGTGACTGAAAGTGTCCAGACACAATGAAAACACTTGATATTTACACGTCACAGTGGGTGCAGCCAGCTTGGATTCTGACTCGGAATCCTTGTTCGGTCTAGTTTTTCTGCCACCGAGGTCCTGTTTGCGTCATCCCAGGAAAAGTGTTGCTAGACAACTTCCTCGGAAAACCGATTTGGAAGGAAAATCGAACGCAGGGTGAGACCCACATGCACAGGAAAAACTGGAGGGTTACAATTTCAGGGTAAAATATTTCAGTTGTTTTTAAGACAAAAAGTGTTATTTTAACTATCTGAAAGTTAAATGCGGGTTTGAGTTGGGGTTATTTGTCAGAGTTGATATGGTTGAAGTTAATTCAACTTCTCTTGGTGTTAATTTGGCTCCTCCCACCCACCACTTCAAACTCCTGCGAGAGAATACCAGTTTGAACTAGTTTTGTACTTAATTTTATCTTAAATTAACTAGAATAAAGTGTAAAACTAAAACACCTCTGTGCGTTGTTGAGCTAAATCAGGATAACCCTACAAAGTGTTATCCTTTTACTCTCTAAACATTAATTTAACTCTTGATTTAGGGATTAAACAGGAATTTTGGTCCAGTGTTACTTAATTAACATTTCCAAAAATGTTAAATTAACTCTGAAACAGATTGGACTCATAAATTCTGAGAAAATGTTAAAACTGATTCTGTGAGAGTCAATTCTAATAGTCCACTTTTTGCTTAATGTTGAAAATGACATTGTATCATCTAAATAATGTTATTAACATGGTATAAGAATCAGTATTCAGTATCGAGTCTATTCTTTAGTATCAAAAATTGAGTTTAAAATTTTAGTACTGTGTGTTTACATGCACAAGAGAAATCTGATCACCAAAAACACCTGGTGATAAGTAACAATCAATGGATTTTTGCACTAATTGTTGTATTTGGAAGTACAATGAATCTTAAAATAACTCTTTCAATCTTTAACATTTTCTCTTCTACTTTTCCCACATTAGTTTGCCATTTTTGCTTTAGTCGTCTTTGTCTAAACCTGCACAGGTATGAATAATTAGAAAGAAACTCAGATTACACACATCAGGTGTTAACTGCCTGTTTACGTTACATTTTCATAATCTGATAACTCAAGAAAAAAATTATATTGATCCGGAGGCCAGCGACGAGATCTACCAAGACTAGGCCTGTCACAATAATTACTATATTCGTACTATTTCGTTCAATATTTGAAAACTGGAGCAATATGTTTTGGGCTTCAGTATTTATCATGAGGATTTTTTCTTTTTTTTCATTTTATTTTTATGTAATAATTTAAGATTTGAGATTGAGATTTCCCTATAAATACAATAAAGTGTACCTTAACCATGACATTTTTGGTAATTTCTTTGATATATTAACTCTCTAAAAGGATTATAAAGAAGGATGGATTATTATTATTATTCGGTTATTTCTTCCCACCCTCCGTACAAACTCTGGTTTACTTGGAAAAAACAAATTTAATCCTTCAGGAGGGAATCTAAAAATAGAAGGTGTTTGGGTAAAAAAGAACAATTCAATTTCAAGTTTGGTTCTGCATTTCCCAGTTTTCCATTCATTCCCAGCATCATTACGGCCGTATTGGTGTTTTCTGGCACCACTCACCGACCACAGAAACAGCGATAATGCTATTGCCTCAGCTCTACTGCGCGCACCAGGATCTCCAAACTCCAATAAGGCCCTGCTTAGGCGCATTTTCCACTGTCATTAAAAGTCTGAAAAAGTTTGAGCTGAAACTTTGTCAAACCACCCATCTGCAGGGCTGCTACTCTCTTTATTACACTATACTGCTGACAAAATAACAATGAGGCCATCAGGACCATCTGGAGAAGCAACGGGACCACGCCTTCGAAAAGGAACACATAAAGAAAGACAGCCGATTCGATCAACTTTTTGTTTTAGAAAAGAAGACATATTGAGCTCGCGTCTGGCTCTAGTTTTAATCTGCAACACAAGTGGATCATCATGTTATAATTTGTAAATTGTAAATCTCAATATTCGTCTTAAATGACTTACAGAAATAAACAAGTCCGCTGAGTTCTGCGTTGGAAAACAGAAGTGTCCAATGGGAGCTGACGTCGCCATTAACGTCATGACAACAAAGCAAACTTGAAAAGAAAACTTGGGGGGAGTACTAGTGTTGTCATGATACTAAAACGTCAAACACAATTTTGATACTAAAGAAATATCTCGATACTCAATAGCGATTCTGATACACAAATGATTCAACACAAAACACACCATGTGATCTTACACTAGTTCTGATAAAACTCAAGATGAAGCAGATCAGGAAAGCTCCAATTGTATCCAGTATTGATACTTGATAATAGTTTTAGCGTTGATTAGAATCTGATTTTCAATACTTTAGAAAACCCTCGAGTGTACACAAAAATGCTTTTAAATACAAAACTGTTGATAGAATGATCGGAATCTACTGTAAACGGAATCATCATTGAGGTTACATTTACACTGAAACGAATCACCGTATCACCACGTCACCGCAGAAATGATCTGTACACAGACACATCGTTTGTGTGTCCGCAAGCCTTCCCTGTCCACACAACTTTGAGCAAATTTGTTTATGTTTTACAGAAACGAAGCTTAGAACCGCATGGCTAATTTGCATAAACTGAGTGCTCAAAAAACAGCTTGTTATTGTGCGCTGATGCGGTTCAGCTTCTGTCAGACTAAAGTGGAATATGAGTGTTTTTTCTGTGACAGAGGGATGTTCTGCTGATGGTGAGTGTGTTCTGTGTTTCTATCGCGTTGGAGATGGTTCATGTTAAACTTTTCAGAGATTATACGTCTGCAGGTCGCACACATAGATCGATATATGAATGGACATACAGTATATTCTAGCCTCTTAGTGTTTTGGCGGTGAATTACTTCGTGCCGCATGGACCTACGTCAGTGTATCAGTGTTTTCAGGCGTCCACACGGTGCCGGATCAGATCTGTACTCAAATGAATTCGTGGGCACCAGATCGTTCCGTCTCTGGAGCCGTTTTCAATCAGATTAGTGTGGACGAACACTGCATCCACAACGAAAATGACTCAAATACGTACTAGTGTGGACGGGGCCTAAATCAGCAATAAGACTTATCTCACCACTACTCACTCTGTTCCTGTGTGATGACTTAGTTTGAAAGTGACATATTTTTGGTCATTCTGATGGTCGTTCTTGAACAAATGCCACTAAACAAAAGCCAGGGCCAGGGCCAGTGTTTGTCTTATGGGATGTGCCTCTTTAATGTGGTTTTGTGGTCCAGTCGTCAGGGGAAAACTAAACGCTTCGCTCACATTACAACTTACTAAAGGCATCTCCAAAACTGCCAAACTGTTTATGTCTGTCAGAACTGTCCTGACAGATATTTTACAGCGGGACACATCCAGGCTCACAGTTTCGGTACATTTTAGCAGCTAACTTTTCTGTCAGAGGGACAGACAGTCTCTCTGTTGTTGTGCATGTGAGGCTCTTCAACTCACAGCCGGCCACATTATTACAGGCACTAAATCAGGCAATGTCAGTATGAAGTGTCAAGTATGTGAAGTCTGGGCAAAGTTTCAACTTTCACTTTGGAGGATCATACGCTCTCACTGTCCCCACTGTAGATCCACTGAACTGGGCTTTTTCAATGTCACGAAACAAAGAAATTTATTGTAAGGACTTATACAATGAGCATTAACATTAAGAAGTTGCCGATACGATACATACCTCGATACCTACGCCACGATACGATACCTATCTCGATATATTGTACACTTTTGATTTGAAACTATATATTTAAAATAGATTTGATACAGTAAAAAAAAAAAAATCATGGCTGTGATACTAAAAGTCTAGCCTGATGCATCAACTGGTTTTACTTCGTTTCACTTCGTACAAACCGTCTGACCTTGCGGCAATAGAATCTGTTCGCTCGACAGTAGGCGGGTACTTTTTATTGTTTAAGCAATCGCTGCCGTTTGGTCCTGATGTATGTAATGCACCGCTTACGGGACTAACTGGTATATTAAGCTTTTCCCAAATCCCGTAGGAAGAAGGGCAATAACGTCTTTCTCCTTGATAAAATTCACCAAACATTCTCTTTGTTCCGGCTTTAAATCCTCGATCTCTGAAATCGTTGACAACACTGAATATATGGCTCTTCGCTGATTGGCTGGTGCCCGAACTTGCACTTCCGGTGTTTTTGCGAACTGTCTACTGTATTTTGATTCCTGACCTAGTCGCTGGAGAGAAATTAAATTGAGCGGAGGCACTAGGTGGTGCCAGAGTGGCTTCTAAAAGTCTTTGTTAAACCACTTCTTGTGCAAAGTTCATATGAAACACAAACAATTTAATCCTCAAAACAGTGAAAATGTCAAATGTGTCGCATAAACGAGTTACCTTCCTCTGAACAAACAACAAAACTGTAGCACTGTAACAAAATACTTTAGTCAAATATACCAAAAAATACTTTAGGTGTGTATTGGAACTGTTTTGTGTTGTGTTCTTCCAGCCTGCTGGGGGGGCGCTAGTTGTGATTTTGGTGATATATTTAGCCAGTAGGTGACAAGAAGTAAAACTACTAGCTTGAAAATGTCAGTCAGTCCATGAGGTGTTTTGCGGTTAGATCTGAAACCATCCTCTCATTTCCAGCCCTTTGAGTGGCAATATGAGTAAGTGTTTATATTAAAAATGAATGTTGACAAGTGCATTTGTAGCATTTTGTTGAAGTTTGTAGCATTTTATAGATATTTGAGATTTGAGTTCCAGTAGTGGTATTTGAGTTGTGTGTATTACTTCTCAGCTAACATTGGCCATTTAATTGTCTATATAATGTAACTTTGATGTACATTGTTGATTTTACAACTTTCTGAATACCCTTTTGTATTTTGTTACAGTTTCACACTTTTTTGCATTAAATCCTGGTCAAAGACAACACCTGCCTGTTCCTTGGAGGAAGTGATGCAAGAGAGAGTTTAGCTGGCTGTGAATCTCAATTAGGACAAGGGGTCACGTTGAGTGTAACAGTACAAGGTGATATATCGATACAGCAGCCCATGATATCGATACTGTATCATCACATTAAACAATACGGTATATAGGGTATCCCCAGGTTTGACTACCCCAAATTTAAGACCACTTAAAAGAAAATTAAGACCAACATCACCCCCATTATGCGGGCGAAAAACACCAGATCCAATTCTTGTAACGACCATTACTCACTGCTATTAATAACAAAGAACACTTATTATAAAATCTCATTCAGAACTCATTTCTAGTACCGTATTTTCCGCACTATAGGGCACGCTCTTAAGAGTCTAACCCCATCAAAATAAAACTGCGCGCCCCGCAATCCAGAGCACCCTATACACAAATCCACTCGGGTGTCGAAGCACGTCTTCAGTAAACTTACAAAGCCGCAAACACACACGGAGTAGAGAGCGACCGCGCGGCAAAAACACCCACAGCCACACTCATGACTCCACGCCGACGAGGAACACAACGAAGGAACGAACCGAAAAAGCGAGCGCAATGTGCCACTTCTAGACACAACTGAACAACCGAGTCACTGCGACAATCCGTTGGTCCCAGACAGCACCCTCCCTACACGCCACAACTGAACAAAGCCCAGAGTCACCGTGAACGCCACAAACAAAAGTCCCACTGACCCATCCAACTGTTGTGTTTCGTTTAAAGTCCCACGCGGTTTATTTGTGAAAAAAGTTCGAAAATGCTTGTAAAATGGACAAAAACGCATTTATGACATTCTAACAAGACAAACTAACCTTTGACATTGTCTTGTCTCACATTCTTTCAAAGTGCTTCAACCAGAGAAAGAAAGAGAGAAAGATGTAGAGTTCCTATCCCTGTGGAGGAAGACAGAGAGAGAAAGAGGTGTAGTGCCCGACCTGGTGGAGTGAGACAGAGGAGGAGCTAGAGATAAAGACTGGACTGCAGAACGGTTGAGAATACAAAAAAAATAGGCTCATGAAATTTAAGACTTTTGTGAAAAAAATAAGACTTGGGTCACATAATTAAAGACTTAAGACCCTGTGGCTACCCTGATATATCAATATTTCAATATTTTTACACACCCCTAATCAATACAGATATTCAAAACCAATATTTTTCTGTGCTGCCCTGGTCTCTGAGTGCCATTTTTGAACACACTAATCAGTCAAAATGGAAAAAGAGCGTGAAGCGCATTCAAAAATCGCTCTTATCAAATATCAAAGGCTGCAATTTTCGAGAACCAATGTTTCCTCATAAACAAAATCTCCTGCCATATTCGGCACATAAACACTGATAACTCCAGTAGAGATCTGTACAAACACGCTCTCAAATGTGACTCTGGTACTGGTTTGTCAGATCTTTTTTAAGTCTTAATGTCACTTCTTCTGGCTGCGTTTAAAATGTGAACTTTGAACAGAATCACGTTATTACAGCATAAAGCACAAATCTAATGACAATCAGAATCCGTGTGTCATTCGTTTATTTGTTTTTTAAAACAAAAGCAGAAATAAGAAAAGAAAAAACAACAGTTTTCTTCATTATTTGTCTCCAAAACCAAAATGAAAAAACAGATAACGGTTTCAATTTTCAATTTTGTGTTTAAATGAATAATGGAAAAAACGGATAACGGCTGTTTCCCGTTTCTGTGACTTAAACTGAGATGCCGGACTGAACCAGGACTACACCAGGACTAAACCAGGACTACACCAGGACTACACCAGGACTACACCAGGACTACATACTTACAGGAACTACACCAAGACTACACCAAGACTAAACCAGGACTAAATTGGTCTCAGTCCCGGTCTCATTTCTGGTTTCAGTCTCGGTCTGGTCCCGGTCTCATTTCTGGTCCAGGTCTGGTCCCAGTCTGATCCTGGTCTGATCCCGGTCTGGTCCCGGTCTCGGTTCCAATCTCAGTCTGGTCCCTGTCCCAGTCCTGGTCCCAGTCTCGGTCCCCGTCTCGGTCCCAGTCTCAGTTTAGACCTGGTTTACATCTGGTTTACATCTGGTTTAGACCTGGTTCAGTCCTGGTTCAGTCCTGGTTCAG